TCTCATTGCCCATTTCTGAGCACCTGTGCATTACAGCATGTGTAACATTGGGAATGTACACGGTATCGCGAGTGACGCCATACGAGTGGAACTTGAACTTCTCGTGTTGCACGGCTCATCAGCCTCATCCTGGTGCCGCCTTTGTGAATTCACCTGTGGAACTTTCCAATAACTACAGCTTTTGGAACACATTATGGTGCGTTCATGTTTTAGAGGCATCTTTAAAGTAGACTGTGCAGCAAGTGCTGTGAAATGAATTGCACTTCTAAGCGAAAAAGTTCTATTTCAGCTAATTTGCCGTTTATTCATCAGGCGCCCGTCTTGTTTGCTGCGAACGCTGAATGATGTCAAGGGTGGACTTGCAGCGGCTCCAGCCGGTTCCCCACCAACTGTGAAAGCTGGCAGGCGACTGTAACTGGTGGAAAACTGGTCGGCACCGCGCCAAACCCAGCCGCTCCCCTTGACATGCCCAGCGTCCGCAACAAAAAGACCGAATGCTGCAAAATATACGCAGACGAATCCGTATTTTACCATTTTTATGCTGTTTTATTTTTGTGGGCGTGCCTTGCTTTGTGGATCGTCCCAGAACTCCGATTTCGCGAGGGGTTTCTATGTGGGAACTGATCTTTGTGTGAAGTTCCACATTCGGGCTGCAACCAGGGCACGCCATCGCGTTGTGATCATTTCCTAGAAAATACGACGCCCCTTAATTTTATCCTCGAATGCACTGCGACCCCCCTCCCCATGCTACTGCTTGCTTACAAACTTATCCTGAGATTCTACCCCAAGCAGTTCCTACCACTTTTCTCGCTCATTTTTTTTCTCCTCCAGCTCAGCAAAATTCGCCAGAGTTCTTACAGACCAAGAATTATTATGTCGAGGAAGGGGGGGGGGAGGGAGGTCGCTGAGGATTGGAAAATAATCTTCATTTATTGCATCTTTCAAAACCCCATTCGAAAGTAGTAAGTTGAAGGTAAATCTTATGTGCAGTCCGCTATCTTCCATAACAACGACCTCAAATACGGCCCCCGCACACCAGTTCCATCGCAGTCCAGCAGTCAAGTACGACACACCCCCCCCGTTGTGACCATCACGATGGCGTGCCCTAGCTGCAACAATCGTAGTTGGGTTAGCGCGCAGAAAGGGAGTCAAACAGTTGGATGGCGAATACGTTGAAATAGCCTATTTACTTGAAGGTACGTGACAAGCACCATGCTGAAGGGAGGATGCGATTTTGGTCCCCGAGCCGTGTCAACCAGACTTCTGGGAGGTACGAGTTTGACTTATTATTATTCAGCGATCGGATCTGAAGGGAAGGCTTTGAGGCATGCCTGGTAGCTTTTTTTATTGAAGGAGCTTCTCTCCCCATCCCGGTTACCTCAGTCAAAGAATGCCAAAGCTCAAACCTTTTGGATTTTTCGGCAGAGGAGGACATCACCTTGGTACTGTGAAAGCTCTCGCATCTTCTTTACTGTGAGCGGTGACGAATCACAATCCTTCGCCTTCTCGCGTATGTCCACAGTTACTACTATCGCACTCAGTGTGGCGGCCACATTTAAGAGTAATAGGTACTCTCGCGGTGTTTCCTTTATGGTTGTTTTCTTCCCAAAACGGTCTTACACTCAAAGGCGAGAAAAGCTCATAACCATAAATCAGGCGTTTCCAGGGTAACAGGTCACTTTCCTGAGAGAGGACGTTCATATCTTTTGTGGCTCTTATATTGTCTACTAAGAATCACCCCCCCCCTCACTGTGAGAGGGGAGGGGGAACCACAGTCCTTTGCCTTCTCACCAATGTCCACAGTTGATACTATCACACTCAGGGGGGGGGGGAGGCGGTTACACTAGAGGGATAGAATGAGGACTCTCGCGGCTTCTCCACTATTGGGTGTTTTCTTCCTAAATCGGTCTCACATCTAAAGGTGGGCTCGCTACGCCCCTCATAATTGTGACCTTTCTGACTGTAAATCAGGCATTTCTAGGCCAGTAAAGTCATTTTTTTCCGAAAAAGGACGCTCATATGTTATTGTGGCTGTTATATTGTCTGTTAAGGAACATGGTGGGTGTTCACGCTAGTGATCATCAGCGCTTACACTGCGAATCTTGCTGCGGTCCTCACGGTCTCGCGACCATTCATTCCGATAAAGAACCTCGATGATCTAGCCAACCAGACGGCAATTTCTTACGGAACCATCAAAGGAGGCAGTACCATGCAATTTTTCCAGGCAAGTGCAAGTGGACACAAGTACTCCACAACAGAATCCTTTTACAGTTCTGAGGACTGATGATGATGTACGCTGTTTCCAGGAGTCTAAGATAAGTTCGCATGCCAAGATGTGGGAGTACATGAAAAATCGTGATGTGTTTGTCAAGGATAACAGGGAAGGAGTTGAAAGAGTTGTGAGGTACTACTATGAGGCTTTCAAACAATTTTTGTTCCTTGTTTTGCGAGAACGTAACCAAAAACCAGCACATAGAACAAACGCTTTTGATTTCCACTAATTGTTGTGCAATTAGGAATAACTTTGCCTATTTGATGGAGTCAACATCGCTTGAATTCGAAGTTTCACAAAACTGCAACCTCACTCAAATCGGTGGTGTGCTGGGCTCCAAAGGATACGGAATAGCTTTGCAAAAAAGTAAGCATTCTTTGGTCAATGTTCTATACATACTCCCAGGAGTAATCTATACAGATACTGATTATAGAGTCAATTCTTTATTAGATGTGCTTCTCAACTTTAGTACTGATCTTTTCAAAGGGACTGTAAGATTCTAAA